AATTGACAGCAACCTATTAAAAATGGCTAGCTCAACGCCTGTAAACCAATCTGTTAAATATATTTGTACAAGTAGCATATTTTAAGTTATGCTATATTAAAGTTAAAACTTAACAATATGAGACAAAATCATAGATACCCCCTCAACTATCTGGCATTGTTAGAGACAGCCCGTCACATTTAAAAAATTACAATAAACCATGTTTCAACTTTTAAATAACATATTTTTATCATTGGCCATTTTTGAGACCAACTAATGTCATAAACCGGTTAAATCTTATGAATATAATTTGTCCAATGCATAAAAAAATAATAATATTTGAAATACCCCAATAAAAAAAATACAATTATGCTAATTATACATCACAATTTATAGATTTATTTACCAACAAATGATGTAGCGAAATTTGATTAAATCAAAATCTCACTAACCAAATAAAGAAAACCCTAATTTCTTGTTGCCACCTCATCTTTTTGTAGAATAATCTGTAAGTAGTGATATGCAACAAGCATTTTCCAAAAAAATAAACCAGCAATAGGCATTTATAATAATATTATGTCAATAATTATTGAATGGTTATATTCACATTACACACACACATTTGAGTGCTTCATATTTTAATTGTATTAAAATTCATTAATCCTTTTTCACTTCACATGCATCAACATATCATTAATTAGCCATCTTAACCCTAATGACCGGTCTAGTCCAAAGAATTATGTTAGCATGCTTAAAAATGAGAAACAAATGTATACTAATAATTTTTTACTTGTTTCTTTTTTGCTTTACTTAAAAATAAAACAGCAAAAAACGATTTTATTATTACTATTATTATTATTATTTTTTTTTTTTTTTGGACAAAGTCTAGTTGAGATTTAATTTGGAGGAGTCATATTACAAAGCCTAGAATTAGACATCTTTGGCCAAACTTCAATAGTGAAGAAGATGATAAGTAGTAATAATTTAATCTTTTATAAAAAAATTTATTACATTTTTTTTTTTTTTTGGTTAATGGCCATTGGATACCTGTTATTATTAGTCAAGAGTGAAGGAATCGAGTGTGCAATTTAGAATTAGCAGGAGTTTTCTCCAATTTGATTATATAAAAAACTAATGAAATCATAAAATTTTTCTCCAATTTTGAATTCAAATTAGTATTTCACGAATTTAACGATTTGTTACTCATTTATTAATCTTAAAGTACAATGTTACGATGCATATGATCATGAATACATGATGTAGATCGAACAATAGTTGTCACTAATGATATCGATGCATTATACGTGGCCCGACAAAAATGATTCCAAATTCACTTGAAATTTGAGTACGAATTTTCTACTAATAGAGAATGACTTCGTCCACATTTGACAAAGGAAGCATTGCGAAACAAATAATTCAAGTGAAAACTTTAAGAACACAAATCTAAAGTCTATTAAAGAATGAAAAATAAACTCAAGAAATTTTATTTATTCAAAAACTGCCTAAAAACGAAGAATTAACCATTTATTTATAAGGGTTTACATGAAAACTTAGGGTCCGTTTGATTGTAAAGATGAAATTTGGGTGAAAAGAAAACGAATTGAAGGGAATTGAATTGTCTAAAATTTGTTTTAGTGGGAATTTCCAATTAATATTATTTGATTGGTATAATTTTTCACATAGAAAATGTTAAAATAAAAGTGTTTTTTAGTGTTTGTTTAGCTTTGTTTATCATAAAAATTGTTAATTTAAGAGATATTCACATCTACAATTGTTCTTAGAATTTGTTTCTATTAAAAAAAGAGAGAGAAAAAAGATCCAAAAATCATCTATATTTTGGTGTTTATTTGACTTTATTTTATATAAAAATATCAATTTAAAAGATATTTTCTTTTACAATTGTTCCTAAAATTTGTTCCCATTGTCAAAAAAAAAAAAAAAAAAGGAAAAAAGGGGTGAGAATTGATTTTCCATCAAAACAAGGAAAATGACTCATGTGTGAACAAAAGATGGAAATGGAAAATAAATGTAATTAAATACCAAAAAAGTTGGAAAATGGAATTCATTCATGGAATTCAAGGGATATCAAACAAGCTCTTAATTTAAAAGCACTAAAATTGAAAAGAATTCGAAATAAACTAAATGACAAAAATAGTACTAAAACTTATAATACAATTTTCGAGTCCTATACGAACTCAGATGACTAAAGTCCATTATACTTCACAATAAGGGAAATTAATCTCACCGAAAATATAGGTGCCCTAACTCCTTCACATGAGTATACTAGCCCCATAGTGATAATTGAACATTAAGGGTTTGTTTGTCGTATATTTCTTTAGAATAGAGTTTGTGAAAGTGATTATTGTATTTTATTTTTATTTTTATTATTATTTTTTAAAAATGTGTGGTTAAAAGTATGAAAAAGTTATGGTTTCATGTGTAATTTCCCCCCTTTTTTTGAAAAGTGCGATTGAAAATGTTTTTTTTTTTTTAAATAAGTTTTAAAGAATGTGTATCAAACAAGGACTAAGAAAATGTTAAATCATATTATTATGTGGGATAGGGACAGCCTCTGAAAAAGGAAATTGACAAGCTTCTAAGTGGTATATATAGCTAATATCGTTTATATTTATAAACGATATCGTTTATATAGCTAAAATCGTTTATGCAAGCTATAAGAATTTATAGTTTCTTGAATGTTAACTTGATGACATTATATGTACCTACAAATTTACGTTTATGAAATGATATGTTATGAAAGTCAATACATATGTGTCAAGTAATACGACTCTAAACTTCGACCACTATAGTACTAGCTATTAAAATATTATGAAGGACATTTATTATAATATGTTGCCGATCAAATTATGAAATATGCAGATGGAAAAATAGACTACACATAGTTCATGCACGAAAAATATGACTCCATTATTGGTACATAAGCATTAAGATTGAAGAAGAAGAAGAAGAAGAAGAATCATTTCATATATCGTGAACATGTATATGTGCAGAAATTGGGTATAGACTATGGCCCATCGCGGGGGATGTATGTAGAATTTCTTGTGGTTCGATAAATGAAAAAGTGCTCTACCTTGCGTGAATATTTGAATATTGTTACGATCAGCGATGACCAATTATACACACGATCAATATTATAATATACATATATCACACACGACAAAGCATTACATAGAGAAAATGTAAATAGTTATGATCAATTTATTTATGCCGCTAGGATGTAGTAATTATTGAGATTAAGCCATTGTTTGACAGAAATTAAAATTCAAATATTAAGCTAAATTAAAATCAAATATTAATATTGTTTACACAATTTATGAAATCACAACTTTTCAACCATATATTTCATTAAGTTTGATCAAAATTTACTAAAAATCTAATTTTAATTACTACCAAATAGAGACTAGACACACCCTGTTTGACCCACACTCTTTCCAAAAAATACATTATTCAATAGTGATTTAATATCATTTCAACCATATATTCTTCAATAAAATAAATATTACACGTAAATTCAAAATTTATTCTTATTTTTTAATCATACATTTTTATCAATACACTATTCAAAAATACATTCTTTATGAAAATAATGTGGCTCAAACAAAGGCTTAGTGTATATCTTAACTCCTTAGTGAGTCTAAAAGATATAAGAAGAAAAAGAAAAAGAGGAAAAAATAGAAAAAAATATACGTTATGTTATTCATGCATCTATAAACACACATTCACGATATTCCATTCGCATATTAATATACTCATCCCCCCCATAAAATTAAATTACATCAATATTAAATTCCAATGGTAAAAGAAATA